GGAGGTGACTTTTACATGGCTGAGAAGTATGATGTTTATGTTGTTGGCATTGACCTCTCAGTTAACATGATCTCTTTGGCCTTCGAGCGTGCTATTGGTCGTAAATGTGCGGTTGAATTTGAGGTTGCTGATTGCACAAAGGCAACATATCCTGAAGGAACATTTGATGTGATATACAGCCGGGACACTATCCTTCACATCCAGGTAATTAGCAGTCTTGCTATTCGGATGTGATTTTCAGTCCCTCTTTGAAGCTTCAATATTGTCACTGACTAGTTCAATCTCAATCGTTACATTACCACATTCTTAGCCGGCCTAACTGTTGAACAATGGTGTGTTTGCAGGACAAACCTGCATTGTTCAGATCTTTCTATAAGTGGCTGAAGCCTGGAGGCAAAGTCCTCATTAGTGATTATTGCAAAAGGGCAGGACCAGCATCAGAAGAATTTGCAGGGTATATCAAGCAAAGAGGTTATGATTTACATGATGTTGAAGCATATGGCCAGGTATACATTAATCTCATACATACTAATGTGTCCCAACTCCCATCCTCTTTCTTTGCTAGTGGTTTTAGAATGATAGAGCTTCTTTATAATTTCACAATATAGATGCTCAGAGATGCTGGTTTCAATGAAGTTGTTGCCGAGGATCGAACTGAACAGGTGTGTCTTCTGTGACTTGATTGTGTAAATATTGTTTACTCCGCAGTGCTTCGCTTTGAAGACATTGATACAAACCTAAAGTGTATGTTACTTGGATTGCAGTTCATTAAAGTTCTACAGAAGGAGTTAGATACTGTGGAGAAGGAAAGAGAGTCATTTATCCAAGAGTTTTCTGAAGTGAGTGCATTATTATCATATACTCCATTATGCACCTATATTGAAATGCCTAATGATTGTTGATATATGATTTCTTCTTATTTTTATTTCTGATTTTAACTTTACAGCAAGATTACAATGATATAGTTGGAGGTTGGAAGGCCAAGCTAATCAGGAGTACTTCATCTGGTGAGCAGAGATGGGGTTTGTTCATTGCCAAGAAGTGATTGTCCAAGTGCATGATATTTTGTGTTACTTCATGCACTTAAATCTGAATTTCTTGGTTTAGTACTAAATATATTGTGTTGTTGTCCTATGTAATATCATCATCTACCTGTCTTTTTCCCAAAGTTGTCCTTAGAGTACTAAAGAGACTCAAATTGTCCCATTTTCTGAACAAGTCATGACCTGCACCCGATCACTAAATTTGACCGAGCGAACCATCTGCCCTTATCAACTCTATTATAATTTAAAATTTTATATGCAATACTTTAACCAAATACTTTAAATCGTAGTAGCCACTGAAATACTGCTAAGTTATTATCAAAAACATCTGAATCTTAACCCATCGACTGTGTCTATGAAACCTCTACTGATAAACTGACGCACTGCTCAGGACATGAGATTGTCTGGCTAGTTCTCCAAGTAAACAAAGAAATAACTAAATAAAGATGACTCAAAGGAATACTCCATGAACAAAAGCGGAGCTCACCAATAGTACTGGAAGAGAGGGAAGTCCTAACCTGTAGCCTGCTCCCTTGCAAAACCGGTTCCTATGTTGTACCGTAGACCAACGTAGGTTCCCAAAGGAGAACGTCAGTACCATCCATTGTATTCAGTGAGTCTCAACGACAGGGGACAAAACTTTAATAAAATATACATTATGAACAAAGATTCTAAATGCATGGAAAAAAACATAAAGCTTCTAAGAACAATTCTAAAATAATTGCATAATAGCAGTTTATGAATTTTCTAAAAGAAGTTATTTTCTTTTTATTTCTTATCTAAAAAAATACTTCACTTTATGCTTCGAGAGTTCCAACTATCCTGACTTATTTCTGTCTTAATCACCGTGTGATCGGCACGGGTTCGATCCCAACCTGATCGAATAGGCCCAATCCACGAGGTGCCATTCGCTTCATGGTTCTCAGCGCTCATTTATCATACCTTAGCCTGGCTAAGTAAATTCTCAGCAATGAGACCCTCGGCTCGTGTGCTCCCTACTTTGGCACAAGTAGTTTCAGGAAGTCAATGCCTTGGTCAGGACCCTCGGCCTGGACGATGACCCCTTCTCAGAATAGAGAATACTCCCAAAAATCTTTGCTTTCTAAAACTTCTTCTTGTGACTTTTTAAGTCTAAATCTTTTCTGGAACATCCTATACATACTCATACTGGTATCCTTAAATGTAAAGCATGACTTTAGAATGAAATAAACATTCAAAAGTATTTTTAAAGATTCTTGCTTCTTCATAAATTTTCAACATGAAAATGGCATATAAGAATAACACAAAAATCTAAAAATTTATGCACATATATCATAATAAATCATCTAAACTTTAGCTAGAACAATTCTAAGTTAATAGGTACTCACTCGCTCCAATTAAGTACATATTAACTCTTTTAAGCAATTCATCAAACACCTTATATGCGTACTTTTGTGAGTTAAACCACTCTAATAAAGGGTTATATTAACTCATCTCAAAACTCCTACCCGTCAAAAAATCGATTCTGCAAACGCCATTCATTTTAATTAATTTCAAAGTTTCACATCTAAACATGGAATCTACTGTTGATACAGAAAAAGATGGGAATTAACTATCTAATTCTTATACTATAGGATAATTGGGAATACGAAATTTTATATACTTGCGTTCAAGAACTAGTTATTTGTAAAGAAGCCTAAAAATTTCCTTGTCTGCGTGAATAGTCGCTAGAACTTGTTGCCTTTGTTTCTGTCCTTAAAAGTCTAATTATTGAATTGGTTGCTTTGTATTCTTTGAAACCCAATCCCTTGTCCCCTTTTCGTCCAAGGCATTTAAGCCTTTTTCCTTGCCCTTAAGTACAGACTATCCTATGGGCTTTAGGCCCAATTTTAAGTGTCTTAGCTTTTTTTGTTGACTTAATTAATATTTAATTATACCTACTTTTAATAATATTAAAATTATTAATATTTTTCTAATTGTATATCCAATTATTTATAAATAGAGAAGTAACTCAAAAATCAAACATAAGGGTTTAAATCCGTAATAAAAGTATAATTTAAGATTAGAAAAAACAAATTCTATGTTGAGCATGTTTTGAAACTTTTATAGATTTGAGAAGTGTTACACAAAATATCTGTTATATTTTCAATGAACAAATTAAAGAGATAGTAAAAGTTAATATGATCAATTTCATCATTAATTAATATTAAAATGTGAATTTCTTAATATGTGTGAATATAACCAAAAAATCAATTAAAATGGATCGGAGGGAGTATATTTTTTTTCATATATGTTGAAAGGATCTAAGTTTGATGCAACAAAGATTTTTTTCTGCACTATCAATTTAGTTTGACCCGTAATAGTAAGTTAGTGACCATTATTAGCATGTCACTAGTAATCAATGCTTGTCATATTGATCTAATTACTTTATGAATTTAACTCATATACACGTGTAAAATTTTCTCACATTATTGGTATATTTTATTAGCTGAGCAAGGCCAAATGCACTATATAAATGAAGAATACATTCTACCTTTAGATTTCAAGTTGAGAGGGCTAAATTTAAAATTATTTATTCAGCAGTAAATTTGGCAAATTAATCATGCATTAAGTATTATTAATGAGTACCTGAGGAGCTCGATCTGCAATTTGAGGTATTTTTTGCAATTCGATTTGAGTCCTGTTAAAATACCAAGTCAACTTAGTCAGTTTCTTAAATATATATATAAAACACAAAAATCAATTTAATATAAGTCTTATTGGTATCAGTTTTAGCGTTTTTTTTAAAATAAAAATAAAATAAAGATAGTAAAAATAGGAAAGAGAATTATAATTTTTTGGGTTTTCTGCAACTACATTGTTAAAGCTCAAACAAAATATCACGTACGAACACGCATCAATTCAAGTGGTGTCGTCGTCGGAAATTAAATCCAAAAAAGGGACGCAACGCGTCTTACACACGCCTAAGTCCGAACACGTGTCTAATGCGGTTTTCCACTTGTCAAAGAGCCACCATTGCCCCATCCTTTGGGGACTTTGTTTCCGTTCATCAATTTGAACAATTTTTCCGTTAATTTCAAAATAGAATAGAGGAGAGTTTCATGGAATAACAGTAATATTCTCTTGACATTAATTAGTTGTCATAATCTCACTAAATTAGAAAATAAAGACTTTACTTTAGTAATGTGACGTAGAAGCTTTAAAAACCAAGACTTCTGATATTTTATTTAACTTAAATAATAATGTACTTAAAAGACACATTGTTTACTAACGATTTTTGTAACCGTACCCAATTTATTTTGCATTGAACGAAGTTTGATGTTGTTATCAAAAATTTTCCTTTTAATAAAATAATGCATGCAATTCGATAACACCAAATATAACTTACACGAAGAAAGTATATTTATTTGGTAACAAGGAGGAGAAAATATGAAGAAAAAAAACTTATTCGACAGCAATACTAAACCAAATGATATTAAATAATATTTTAAAGTAATAAATTAAGATAAAAATATATATTTATTATTTTGTGTAAATGTAATTGTATGTAAAGAAAATATTTATCAAGCGTATACATTAAGAGGTCTCGAGTCGAGTCACGAGAATAGAGTCACTTTCAATAGGAGCCCTTTGTTTGTTGACGAGAACTCAAATTAATCAGGGCCCAAATTATGTACTCCCTTTTGTTCTAACTTACGTGAAGGAGTTCGGATTTTAAGAGTTCACTATTTAATTTTAATCATTAATTCGAATATAAAATATGTAAATTTTTTGAAATAAAATTTATATTATATTTATATATAAAAAACACTATAAATCATATAATTAACCATTCAAAATATTTACGAGACACATAAAAAAGTTGGCGATCAATGAACAACGAGTGGTATTTCCCTTTTATTTCCTCGACCGTACCACTTTATAGGAAAATATAATCAAATCCGTTCGTTTCAACTGGCCACGAGTAAACACCTCTTTATCTAAACTCTGCACCTCTCAATCTTTCTCCCCCTATATATATAAATCCCCCATATATATCTCCCTCCATTAATCCTATAACGTCTCCATTCACATATAACGCCTTTTCTCAATTTTCTTTCTTCTCTCACACACAATCGAAAACAACAATGGCTACCAATGCTACCAAGCCTTCCGTTTACCTTCAAGACATGGAGGAAGTCAAAAAAGTATTCGCGCGCTTCGACGCCAACGGCGACGGCATGATTTCCGGCGACGAGCTTTCCGGCGTATTGAAAGCCTTAGGATCCGACACTTCGCCGGACGAAGTTGAACGTATGATGGCTGAAATTGATACCGACAGAGACGGCTGCATTAACCTACAGGAATTTGCTGATTTTTGCAAAAGTGACGATTCCGTTGACGGCGGTGCTAAGGAACTCAAGGAAGCGTTTGATCTTTACGATCAGGACCATAACGGCTTGATTTCTGCTGCGGAGCTTCACCAGATCCTCAACCGTTTGGGCCAGAATTGTACCGTTCAGGATTGTACTAGAATGATCACCTCCGTTGATGCTGACGGTGACGGTAACGTTAGCTTTGAGGAGTTTAAGCAGATGATGTGTAATAATTGTAAAAAATAAGCGATGCTTTTTTTTCTCATCCTTTTTCCGTTATTTGAGTGGCTGATAACGGTGAGGTACACCGAATTTTCGTGCATCCTCCGGTAGTGTGTAATTCTTTTGACCTAATAAATGGCGCTTGGTTTTCCATCGGCTTTCATTTCATTGTCTAGTATTAATTAATAGATTAATATAATGTAAATATTTACATGCTTCCTGTTCCGCCGTTTAAAAAAATTGTTACTAACAAAAATTGCAAAATCTATTCTCGCTTTGCTTTAGAAAATCTAATTGGGTGGGGCTTGCTGTTTTAGAACTGTAATTAAGTGGCTGGTTGAATTGAAAGTTGTGGAAAGTATTTGGAATAATACTATTAGCAAACGATACCAAATTCTAAATTTAGGATGCTCAAATCGAAAATAATGTTATATAATAAATGCATACGTACAATTACTTTTTTGTGACGAACATTTTTGGCAATTATCAAGACTATGTTTTGCTTTTCCCCAAACTATGTACAAGTACAACAATAACGACCAAGTAAAATATCAGAAATAGAGTTTTAGAGTTTGGGGAGGATAGTGTGTACGCATACCTTACCCCTACCCGAGGGGATAGAGAAGTTGTTTCCGATAGATTTTTGGCTCTTAAAAAGAGCTATTTTCCCAAACAATGTATTTTGAAAAAATGTGGAAGTTGAGAAAAGCTGTATAAGAGTAAAGATACGTGCCATTGAGCAGGAAAAGCTTAGAACCAAAGATGGACGACGCAGTTAGACCAACTCACGAAGCCCACCCCCTCAAAAAAAAAGAGGAAATTTATTAAGTAACAGCCCCTAAACAAACGTCTGCTTAAATTGTTACCTTTGCAGTAGTTGAGAAAAGAGATTCATATTCATTTCCTTATTTACTCTTATTATAATACACACTAATTTTCCATATTTATTCTTCTTACTTATTTCCTTATTTATACTTTTATTTATTTCCTTCTTTATTAGTTGTCCATTTATTTTCTTACTTCCTTATTATGCTTTTATTTATTTCCTTATTTCTTATTTATGAATTTAATTAATTCATACATTAATTCTTGACTCTTTTTCTCCTACAAATATCCCTCAAATTCTCAGCTCCAACAATAAGTAAAGATGGCAGACATAGAGGAAGGATGTGAAGCAGCTTGTCTTGGTTTTCCAGCATGCCTTAGCCTCATCTTCTTTGCGCTTGTAGAAATATTTGTAAGCAGTTTCATGTGTTTTCTTGCAATCAAATCACCAAATTGTTTACCACATATGTTAGGTATATTCGTCAAAATCTCTGCAATTGCACTTGGTGTGAGAGTTGGCCTCACTTTTATTTGGCAATCCTTCTGTCGAGGAAGATGAAGCTAGCTAGTAGACATCCAGATATTTCCAGACTTCAAATATATATATATATNTTTATTTTTATTTCAGATTTCGAATTGTTTAAGAGTTACAATTAGTTTTTTTTCTTGCAAGTTGATGTCTTATGTGATAGTCTAGGTTTACTATAGTTGATTTCGGAGAATTTAGTTTTGTTATCTTTCTCTCTACAATTATATTGCTTTAGAAAATCTAATAGGATAATGGGCTGTTTTACAACTTTAAGTGGATGGTTAAATATCAATATTGAAAGCCGTGAAAAGTATTTGGAATAATATTATTAGTAAAACTGATACCAATAAATTAAATAGGAAATTTTACCTCCAATAATAAAGGTATATACTATATTTATTATAAACCAAAATTATTTTAAAATATTTTTCTATAGCTACCTTTTATATTTTATTGCAAAATAAGTATTTTATGGTATATACTACCATGAGGCATGAAATAAGTCATGAAATACGCTATTTATGCTTTTCCTCTCTCTTAGACATCTAGACATACCTATTTTTTAGGGATTGTCGTTACTGTATTCATGAATACATGGTGCGAATACATGTAAATATATGTGCATACAACTGTATTCATGAATACAACAGCGCGAATACATGTGAATACATGCGCGTACAACTGTACTGCCCTGATTTTAGGCGCTTTTTGCTGTTGTATTCATGAATACATAGCACGAATACATGTGAATACATGCACGTAAAACTGAACTACCCTGATTTTAGGCGCTTTTTACTGTTGTATTCATGAATACAACAACACGAATACATGTGAATACACTACCATAACAAATTGAATAGTAGCTATAGAAAGTAATTATGTATATGATATATATAGAAAGTTAATAGCCACTAAACAATAGTGGTTTCTGAAAATACCTCGCGCTCAAAACGAAAAATAGTGTATTATAAAGTGAGGCAGAGTAATATATAGCATATATGTACGTATGATATACGCACTCAAAGATATGTTTTCAAAATATTTTATTTTTTAATTTTTTTTTTACGAAACCGACCAACTTTGGTCGGTTTTCTTTGGCGCAAAAATGCGGAAAATTATTTTTGAGTCCCACGAAATTTATTTTTCAAGAAACTGACCAACTTTGGTCGGTTTTCTTTGGCGCAAAAATGCGGAAAATTATTTTTGAGTCCCACGAAATTTATTTTTCAAGAAACTGACCAACTTTGGTCGATTTTTCAATTAAAATAAATAAAAATTAATATTAAAAAAACCGACCAATATTGGTCGGTTAATTCGGCCGGTCATTTGTCGGTAATTTTATTTTTTAATAAAACCGACCAACTTTGGTCGGTTATTTTTGTGCGAAAATACAATTAAAGAGTATAAATCAAATAAAAGACAGTTTTAAAACTAAATGCACCAATAGTCTAGTAGTAGAATAGTATCCTGCTACAGTACAGACCTCAGTTTGATTCCCAGATGGTGAATCTTTTGATTACATAATTAAAAAACCGATCAACTTTGGTCGGATTTTTTTTGCAATATTTTTTTTGAATTTAATTGACCGATCAAAGATGGTCGGTAATTTTCGACCAACTTTGGTCGGTATGCCTTTCCGACCACTAAAATACCGTTCACACGTAAATGGTCACGTTTTGAATGGTTATTGGACATTACAAATCAAAATTGGTCGATATTTTTGATCGATTTTTATCGAATTTCTAATAGTGAAACTATATGTTTTGGGTACTTCTATTAGAGTAGTGAATGTGGAAGATTATAAATGCGTCGTGTAGATAGAAGGATTATTTATGAAGTTATATACATTATCATCTTATTTACACAATGAGATGAATCATGAGTAGCTATTACAATAAGTATTACTGGTAATCCAAATAAAAGTCATACATAAATTATTATAACCTGTTAGAATATAAATATTGTGTACAAAATATTTTACATTGATTGTTGCCTACTAATATACTCCCTTCGTTCCACTTTATGTGATTTTTTTGTTTTTTTTTTTGTGATCCAAAATATTTGATTTTTTCAAATATCAAGAAGGAATTAACTTCTTCTTTCGAAAGTTGCTCTTGTAGTAAAGAGTCTAGGAGTAATTTGTTATATTTACAATGAGCAAACTAAAGTTAATATGATCAATTTAATTATTAATTAATACTAAAAGGTGAATTATTTAATATGTTAAAAGAGCCAAAAAAAAAAAATATATTACTCCCCTTTTTCCGTTGTTTGAGTGACTGATAACGTTAAGGTACATCGGATTTTGGTGCAATCCTCTGGTAGTGTGTAAATTTGTTTAGATCTAATAAGTGGCACAACCTTCTTGGTTTCCTATCAGCTTTTATCCACTACTAGTCTATGTCGAATTTTAATGTGGATAATAAGTTTTTGCTTTAAGTAGCTGATCATATTCTGAATTTATTGGACGGATTAATTCTGAGTTGTGTTGTTTAGTAAACTGATCACGCCCTACTATGCCTTATAAAAAGGATTAAGCGGTCGTTGTAAATATATTTCGGTTAACAATTTCGGAGTCGAATCCCACAGGGAATTAACCTATTAAGCACCGATACTAGACTCGCACAAATTCACGCAATCAATATTCAGAAATATTTAAATAACAGATTGGATGTTTACTAACTAAATATCACGTAATGAAAATGCAGTAATTAATAACTAACTACGAGCAGGTTGTAGACAAGAATTGGAATGGTCTAAAGTTCTAATTTCTCCTATTGTCGGAATCCTTTCCGCTACTTTTCCTATAAATTTGCCTAAGTTTTCTCTACCGATCATGATCTCTCTGAGTGTCGTAATTCTCTCCCGAGTAACTACCACAATTTACTAGACATATTCTTCTGAATTACGCTAGCTGGCACTAAGTTATGGCTCACTCGGATCGCACAAAGGTTTCGTCATTCCTAATTCCACTTTTAAACCACCCGTATTGATCTCTCATGTACGTTAGGAGTGATGTTGTTCAACAACTACCTAAATATGCACTCTCTTCCGAGTAATATACACTAAATAGGCATAGTTGATTGAGAGCTCTTCAATCAACCACAATATAAACGTAGTTGAACAAATAGAGAAATAGCTACGGCAAATCTATATTAACGTAACAGGAAAATCATCCTCCAATAGGTTCCATCAAAACCCTAGATTAGAAGTTTAGCTACTCATACTCATAGTAACAATATCCCAAGTATTTTGCATAAATAAATTACAAAGTAAAGATGAAGGAATGTAGAAATCGATGATTTTATCCCCCCAACGGGTGTTCCACGAGCTATTCTCCGGTCGCAAAACTCCTTCAAAAGTGGTGTTTAATGTTTATTTATATGTGTAGGATAAGACCTAAACGATATAGCCCAAGTCCCAATCAAACAAGGAGACAAAATAAACCTTCAAAATCCGGATGAGGCTCGCCTTAGACCGTGCCTCGCGAGGTAAATCGCGAGATGCATCTCGCCCCAAACCGTGCAGCGCCAGGCATTCAGCGCGCTCATCCTCGCCTTACCCCTTGCGTCACCTGCTCCCACGCGAGCTCAGAGGCTCGCCTTGCCAGCTCTAACGCGAGCTCCATAGCTCGTTTCGCCAGCTTCTTCATTTTTCCGCTGCTCACTTCTTTCTTTCTTCTTTCCAACTGTTTTCGAGCACGCTTTATACTTTAAATCGACCTTTTGCTCTAATTTCATCTCCAATATACCTACACATAAAATAGACTCCATTACGCGCAAATAAAGTATAGTTTGGCATTAAAGCAC